AAAAAAAAAAAGGTATCAAGCTCTTAAAAAATCACCCGTTATAAAGTGCAAGTGAGATATTATCCGGATAAACGAATAACACCATAACAATGATAACACTTTTTCTTTAAATAAATCAAATAGTACTTTTAATACTCGAATTGTATTATAGTAGGTAGAGTGGTTGCATCGAAAGGAAGAGTGGTTGGGTTCGAAACCTGCTGTAGGCATGTAGTTATAAACATGTATTTCCGTCAGTTATGGGTAAGTATGCAGGTAGATTTTCAAAATTATAAGACACAGAAAATTTCTAAAGCCTACATCTAAAACAGGTAGTATTTTCTTTTCCCGGCTTGTTATAAAAAGGAACCTTTCTGTCTAGGTAAGATTTGATTTTTTCAATTTTATTCTTGTTCCGAGTATAAATATGAGTTAATGCGCTTTGAAACTTCATAACATCTTCAAGGCTCGCCGGAGATAGTTCAGTTCATAAGTCTAATTTCAAAACCGTGATTTATTAAAAAAATAAAATGAGTAAAAGGACGCGAGAATTTGAGTGTAATAAGGATCCAGATATGTTCTGTTTCATGTGTGGCCAATATACTATCATAAGGCGACGACGAGTGTTCTCAGATCATATCAAAACTTTATACTCCAAGTATTTTGGAATTGAGTCTAAAAATGCTGAAAAACCATGGACACCGAACACTTTGTATACATCGTGTCGAGTAGAATTGATTCAGTGGGAATCAGGACAACAAACAAAATTTGATACACCAATGATATGGAGAGAACCTACTTGCCATTCAATAGAGTTTTATATTTGTCAAACAAAAGTACTTGGCGTTGGAAGATCAAGAGGAGTAACCTATGCTAGCGTACCTACAGTGACATTACCAGTACTACATTCAACGGCAGTTGCGGATCCAGTTCCATTGTCAACAGTAACATCTGAGTGCGGGGGATCAAGTTGTACTGAATTTCGCATGGAAAACGAAAGAAACGTTCTGTCACAAGCACAACTTAATGATTGGATAAAAGATTTGGAACTATCCAAGGAAAAGGCCGAGATCCACACTTCTCGTATGCAACAATTTAAATTTGTGTCATCCGATGTTAAGGTGACATATAGTAGAACTCGTCACGAACCATTTTCCAAACACTATACCAGTATACAGACAGACAGTATATGCTACTGCAACGACATCCCTGGTTTATTCAAAGAGTTTGGTCAAACATATGATTCAAAAGAGTGGCGATTGTTCATAGACGGCAATAAACTGAGTTTGAAGGCTGTATTATTGCATATTGGTAACAAAAAGCCTTCTATCCCGATTGCACATGCAGTAAATACAAAGGAAACCTACGAGGAAATGCAAAAAATACTCAAATTTATCAAATATGAAGAGCATGATTGGAAAATATGTTCTGATCTCAAAGTCGTTGCAATGCTATGCGGTCTACAAAGTGGCTACACCAAGCACTGCTGCTTCCTCTGCAAGTGGGATAGCCGAGCTCGTAAGGACCACTACGTCAGAAAGGATTGGCCGGAAAGAGTCGAGTTTACCGTTGGTGTGGATAACATCAAATACACCCCTCTGTCAAGAAAGAGAAAATCATACTTCCACCCTTACACATCAAGCTCGGTCTCATTAAAAACTTTGTTAAGGCTTTGGACAAAGAAGGCGAAGCATTCGACTATTTGAAAACAGTTTTTCCAGATATTTCTCAAGCCAAGATAAAGGAAGGTATTTTTGTTGGACCACAAATAAGAAAGTTGATCAACAATAACAACAATAAGGTCGTTGCTTCTTTTCTCGGTAGACACAAAAGCCCTAACTACGAGCAGATAGTGAACGACCTAATCAATAATTATGCGAAAATGGGCGTAAATATGTCTTTAAAAATTCACTTTCTCCACTCACATTTGAGCTTTTTTCCGGCAAATCTTGGCGACGAAAGTGATGAACATAAAGAAAGGTTTCATCAGCAAATGAAATTAATTGAGAATCGATATCAAGGATTCTGGGACGTCGCAATGATGGGTGATTACTGCTGGTTTCTCATAAGAGAAACCGATCCTAAACTGAATAAGCGTCAAAGTAGAACACATAATTATTTCGACAACATAGTAAAATCAAATTAAGATAAAGATTGTTAGAATATAGTATAAACATAAATAAATTAAAAAAAAAAAGTTAAAAATATGGGTAATTTCATTCATAAATTGAACTTTTAACTCAATAGAAACAGAGCATAGCTAGATATTTCACTCTTCTTTATACCATACATACGTTTTGAGGTATACGTTGAAATTGCGCAACCTGGGTATTTTTATTTGATCGCTTATAACTTACGTAGTTTTGCATCGATTTTCTTCGATGATACCTTATTTTTTTTGTAATATAACAGAGCTTAGGGAGAAAAAAAATCTGCAAAAAAATAAAAGGTTTTCGAGATCCTTCCCCGCAAAGTACAATTTTTTTTATATTTTTACAAAAAAAATTGAAAAAATCGGTAATGATTGTTCGTTATCTTTGAATCTACAGGGCCTAGCAAAAAGTGTTGTATGCACAGCTTATAGAAAATTTTATTACCTTTTAAAAGCTTCAAACCGTTTTGGAATTGCTTCATTCGTTCTTGAGATATATATGATTAAGTGGACCCAATTTTTTTTTTTTTGCAAAAACGGTAAATTGCAAATATCTCAAAAACGGTACCATAAAATTAAAAATAACCTTGATTTTCGTAATCAGGGGGTGATTTTACATACGAATTTCATAACGGCGTCTCTGGTAAATTTTGGCCGTCGACCAGTGTAATTGCTGTAGCGGACTTAAGCCATTATTACACCCACTGTTATATTGTAGGTCCGCTCCAATTTTTAATAAAATTTCTTCAATTTGGCTACGAGATAGCCGAAATTTTTCTACTATTTACATCAAAATCTATACTGTAGCTGATTTTTTCTTTTATGACACGCCTTTTGTTATTTGCAGATTTTCTTCCTCTAATAAATTTAATAGTTCGAATCGAAGCATTTTTTGTGTAAATATTTTATCGAATCACGTGTTAGAGCTTAAGTTTTAGATTGTTAAGGTATAGTTGTATTATCCTTTTACAATAAATAAATAAATAAATTCATTCAGACTGAATAAATGTAACTTATCACTTGTATGTTAGGTAAAATTACTTTTAGCAAAATGAAAGATGATAAGTGATATATACAAATTTTTGGTGCAACGAAATGCTAATAAATTTTGTTAATTTGCATAACTTATCACTTATCCGCTAAAGCCTTTCGCTAAGCATTTCAAATTTTGGTGCAACGCTTATCTATGATTTTGAGTGATATTTTACTTATCAACACTCATTTGAGTGACTTTTCCTTATCATGTGGGTAAAACACAAAACTTTGCGTAAGTTCGATAATCTGCTAAAATGCTAATGATAATTCGTTGGTGCAATATACCCAGTTAGTTTTTGTAAGCGATGTATCGCAAATTAGAAGAAAGAACCTACTCCTTATAAGCCTTGGTATTGTAAAATTTCCCAAAAAATGGGCTTAATGCCACTTAGGTCGTGTGCTTCTAGGTATGGTGATCCCAGGAGGGAAAGTCTGGATCTAGTAAGGTCTCCAAAATGTCTCATAATGTGCTCTATCCTTCGTTGCACAACCTACACTGAGTAGAGTTAATAACTCCTATGTTTGATAAGTGTTTCATTAACCTGCAGTGGCTAGTAAGAAGAACAGTAACAATTCTTACTTTATGCCTACTGAGGTGAAAGAGTTCTTCGGTTTTCCTTATTGATATATCCGCATTGAAGGGCTTAGCCTGTCTGTTATCTTCCGTCCTTGTCCAGTAATGTTGCGCTTCGTTCTTCATTCAGGTCTAGTAGTTTCGCCTAACTGAGCTCCATGGCAGACCAGTATAGTAAAGGGTTATGGGCTTATGCATCCTTTTCTGGCGAGAATATCTGCAACTTAACTGCCCTTGACTCCACTGTGTCCCGGTACCCATATGTGGTATACCCGATTTCTGGAGGCGATAAGAAAAACTGAAGGCAGTCCCACACCAGCATTGAGGTGACCTAACGCGCCCTCAGATAGAGGAGCGCCGCTTTGCTGTCCTTCCACATACTGCACCAGACATACATAGTTCAATGGCGGGCAACTCAGCCTGAAAGATAGAGTTACCTTGTCTCATACTGG